ATCACAAGATTATTAAGTAGAGAAAATAGTAGGAAATCTTATCAGATGAAAAAAAACTGAAGTTACTCAGAGTATCGAAAGTTCAGACACTGAAAATGTGTTTGTTATGCATTAATGCATACTCTTTTCATACTTAACCTTCATATACAAGTTAAGGAAAATACTTTCCTCTTTCCCAGTTTTGGGAAAAGACACTCATTTTACCAGGTATTTGACACATCTGTAGTCAGAAAGTCCCATTTTAAAGTTCCTGTGAATTCTGCCCATTTTTTCCACTTATAATTACTCACATCTAAAGTTTACTTATGTAGACAGAGATTGGTATGAGATATCAAAGATCTAGGTTCTAACTTTTGATCTAAACTCACTATTTATTCAGTAGCTTACAACATTTCTTTGAATTCTAGTTTTGGGTTTCAAAACAAATAATTGTTGTAGCTCCTACCATTACAAACAGCAGTTACCACTGTTATTTAGGCTTTCTTTGGAAGCAAAAGTGATACAGACATACAAAGTATTATTTAAATTAGCTGATAGATTCCTTTTCTTTTACAAAATATCCCTTATCTGGGGCTCTGTTTACTTCCTTTGCCATCCTACAGCACCTCCTTTTTCAAGATGTCTTCTCTAATTAAGAAGCTACCACCAGAGACTCACAGGTACATCTCAAGCAACTACCACCCAATAAAACTAAATCTATTGAACATTGCTTTCTGTATATCTTATAAAACCTGCAAAATCAATGATCCCAAGCCATTTATATTTGTAGACCTTTTTGTTCTATGTTCCTTGCTGCAAACCTCCAACTGAAGGCTTTTTACTCCTCCAGCCATCCTCTCCTTTCTAGTCACTGGCTGGAACTCAAAACACACCTTCTCAAATCCTCTTTCTTATTCAGTCCACATTCTGTTGGTCACCATATTTAATTGACTTTACCTCCAAAATGTCCTTGGAAATATGCATCTCTCCCTCACCACAGTCCATTGCCCCTGCTACATTTTAAGCTATCATCAGTCTTTTACCTTGATCACTACATTTAGACTCCTAGTTTCCATGCCTGCCATGCTTTCAGGGAAAATCACTTTTCTCATATAAATGTGATTGTATCATTCACCAGATTGAAATTCTCCTTATCCACAGAATAAGTACCTTGGCCCACAAAGGGTTTCATAATCTAGATCTACCCTGTGCTTCCAATCTCCTTGATATTCCTCATGCTTCCATTCACCACTGCTTAAGCATCAGTTGCATTGAACTCATGCCAGTCTCCTCCTTGATGTGGTCATTGTGGTGTTCCCTCCTCCAGTCCTACCATGGCCACTTCCATATTGATACCTTCAGCTCCTTTTCTAACATTAAGTACAAACATTAGATAGTCTATGAAGCCTACCCACCAACAACACCTCCATTGTTTTATAAAATAATAGTACAAAAACATTGTTTGAAAAAGTGATTTGGAAATGCAAAATGGCGTTATTATTAAAATAGAACAAAGATGAAGCATGACAAAGCGGAATTCTATTTTCTGTCTTAGGATCATAAGATTTTAAGGCTGAAAGGGTTGTTACAGTCAATCCAGACCAAAGTTTTCTGTGGTTTCCATATAAAAAGTAAAAACTCTTGCCTTAAGATGAAGTTTGAGAAATTTGTGTCCTGTTGTGTAAGACTGACTGTATAATTTGAGTGATCCTTATCCAGCTTTCAAGAAAGCAATCACTATGCTACTCAACTGTAAAAAAAAAAAAATCTAGAATCTTAGAATATGAACTTCATACTCTCAATTCTTCTCACTTCCCACAACATAATACTTAAACCTTCCTGAAGCAATAAAATTTGCTTTCAAATTTGTACCTGCCCATATTCAAAATGCCCTGATTAAGAACAAACAAACGAGAATTTCCTTTGCCAGTTAAGACAGTCATGTCTTTACTTTTTCAAAAAAGTATTTTGTTAAAAATTTGTGGCTACAAATGAAATATGTGTTTAAAAAGCAAAGAGAGTAGTAGTAGCACAATGTGTGAGTCGACTGTGCTATATTGATCAGTAAAAGTTTTAATGAGGGAATTGTGCACCCTCATAATTTGGGTGCAAACTGTTACCAATTGTGGGACCCATACAGCTCTCTCCTGGAGAAGTTTCCAAACATCCAAAACTCAATTTTTTTAATGAAATTTATTTTAACGTTTTTTGAGGCTCTGAACATGTGAGTCATGTTTATTTTCATAGTTGATTCCTTTAAAGTTACATTATAATAGATCAACATTTCAAGGTGCTCAAAAGTCTATTGTGCCTCCTTTGAGCAGTTGCATTTGAGAGATAGGGACAGATTGGTGAGGACCAATCCAAACCATCTCCATGTAAGCTCAGAATCACAGTGCCCTGGGTTGGAATGATTTTCTTTCCAACTGAGTTCCTGAGGTCCATTTTTCCATAGAGATTTTAGGAAACGGTTTCACAGGTTTTGTTTTTTATCTACATCTCTTATTTCTTAAACTGAGTCAGTAGACTCAGAACACACGGAGCTCTCTTCACTTTAGGGTCTTTTCCCGCATAAAATGTGCCCACATTTTCTGTAAGTCTCCAATGCTGAGTTACTGGCATGAAAAATTACCCTGTTACTTGGAAAGCAGTCTTCACTTACAAGTCCCCCAGGTCCTATAATGTCTAAACCTCCTGTGCCACTTTCTATGTCCACCCCACCCCACAGAGGAGCAAGTACAGGAAAAGCAGACTTCCCTTCCCCCACACATTTCCTCAGTTTATTTACAAAACATCTTGGAATGAGAATGAGCTGCCTGTGGTTCCTGTGGCTGATTCAGGGATGGTTCCCTCCAGGCAGAGGATGCTGGTCAACTGAGTGACCTCTCTGTAGCTAACCCGTGCACCCTGTGGGAAGGCTGAGCGGGCTCATGGGTGCCCCTTCTCAGTCAGCCTGGTGGGATTTGCTTTTGTGGTAAAGAACTTAGCAATAATCAAACATCACTGTGAAACAGACTCAAGAAAGGCATGGTCCATCAGAGCCTCTCCCTCCCACCACCAACAGAATAGTCAGAAATACATGGGGATGCCTTTACACCAAGCGTGTCAAACTCAAAGGCTAACAAGGGCCAAATAAACAAGGTTTAAGTTTATGTGGGCCACAAAAAAACCCAAAAACTTCAATTTTCATAGAAACATGGGTTTATTTCAATAGAGACATGCTGAATAAAAAGGGCTGAAATAAATGAGTAATAATTAACATAAAATAATAGAACATTTTAATAAAAATTAATATTTTTTCTTGAACATTAACTTACCAGACACTGAATAACTGCACAAATTAAGAAGCATAATGCAAATAAACCTATTTTTCTTGTTCTCCGAAAGCGAAATATTTCCTGTTGCGCACACCAAACAAGTCAGTCCAAGACTAATGACGTGGCCATCGGCTGCTAAAATATTCACTGCTAGTATTAGTGGAGAGAAATGGTGCACCTGCGCATAAGGTGCATAAGGGAAATGAATGCAACATGATTATAGTAATCAGTCATTAGTGAACGTTGAAGTTCATTATTAATAACTAGAGGCCCAATGCACAAAATTCGTGCAAGGGGTTCGGCCCTCCCAACCCCGGCTGCCTCGCGGCCCTGAAGGCCCGCGGCCCCTCCCACTAGTCATTCTGGAAGGTCATTCCACCATCTGGTCTAATTAGCATATTAGCTCTTTAATATATAGGATTATGTATAACAGGATATTATAAAAATTAAGTTACAAAATTTTTATTAAAACGTTTCTGATTTATATTGGTTGGGCCGCAAAAATATTCCTTGTGGGCCAATGTGGCCCATAGGCTGCGAGTTTGACATGCTTGCTTTACACACTTATGTACCAACCTTTGCTTCTCATAATGGTCAGGATTTTGCCCTTCTGGACTCCTGAAAGGACAATAAGGCTATTAATAGTGCATTTAAATAGAGAATGCGTTAGGAGAAGAAGTCATCCCAAACACCCGCTAGATGAGAGATTCACCTTAGTTAGCAATTTTCCATCAGCTTGCACATAGGTGTTGATGACTAGTTAGTCATAAGGTTTAAAGTTGTGAGGATTTCAGGTAAACATGACTCTTCCAAACATTGGTTTATATTTGTTCAGATTGGCTAATGAATAGTCTTACCACACAAATAAGTGACTCTTGGAAACCTTGGAATTCTCAGGGATATGTGTAGAAGTAGTCCTTAGTATGGACTGGTTATGTCCTCGCCAAGTAAATAATTCCTTTGATTAAATGAAAGATGAGGGTGCAAAAACTATAAGACTTCTCTCCCAATGGATAAAATGTTGAACATAAATTATGACAAGTACTCACATATGATTCACGTGGAAATACTGGTAAGCTAAACATCATAATTTCACCTTTCTATCAATGTGAACTGATAAACATTAAATTCATGTGAGAGGAAATATTTTGGGAAAGCATTGGGAGGTGGGGCGCCCAAATAGCTACATAGTTTTAGAATCAATTGGCATTGGATCAAAGAGTAAAATTGTGTACCCGGACAAACCATAGTTGAAAAAAGATACCCTAGAACACAGTGTCCTTGCTCAAGTTAAGCCCCAGTCTATGTTGTCATCCTTGCTTGAAGAAATTAGAGACGTGCTTATCATCCACCACAGAAATGAAAAGCAAAACTAATGTGTATTGATTTCAATGAATGTGCACAAAATTACCATCTCCAATTGGCCAGGGTGGTGGTTCAATTGGATATTTTCATATACATCTATGAGGCAATATAGTCTTCTATTTCAAATGCTCAAATTTTAAGAACTTTTAAATCAGGAACAATGTATGTATTAAAAGGAAATAGTAGAGCAGAAAAAAGAGAGGGGGGAAAAATCCCAACTCATTCGCCCCTTACCACCAAATTGAAAGCTAATGAAAGAAAATGTACCCAGAGAATGTCATTGAGCTTCTATATTTACAATTTAACCTTTGTTTTTGTCTTTCTACATTTGTCCTCCAGTGCATCCTAACGTCAGTCAAGGCTGCCAAGGAGGCTGTGCGACGTGTTCAGATTACAATGGATGTTTGTCATGTAAGCCCAGACTATTTTTTGTTCTGGAAAGAATTGGCATGAAGCAGATTGGAGTGTGTCTCTCTTCATGTCCAAGTGGATATTATGGAACTCGATATCCAGATATAAATAAGTGTACAAGTAAGTGCCTACACAAAATTATGTTTTTATCTCATCCATGGGGACTTTCCAGATATGAAACAGCCTCTAGAATATTTGTGATATTCAGTGTTAAGTAAATGATAATATTTTACCTGATTAATTAGGCTAAATCCTACTTGGACTTCACCCTCAGGGCAGGACAATTTTCACCACTTATAAAAAACACTCAAGTTTTGTGTTGTTGTTGTTTTCTCTTTTTCATTGTTTCATTCCTAAGGTATAAATCATTGAACCTATGGAGAAATAGTGCAAGCATCAGTGCCATTTGAGTTCCCATTATATTTACAAAATCTAAATATTTAATGACTTAAAGAATCAATTCACTTCAGGAAGGATTCCAGTATAGATACTGAAACATTTATCAGTTGGCAATAAGTGTTGGAAATAGCACATCACCTCTCATCTGCACCTGAAAAACCTACTCTCCACACTGTAGACCAAGTAATGGTTTAAAATGTAAATTAGGGAATATCACTCCTCTATCCTACACCACATGTAGCCCTGCCTACCTCTCCAACCTCATCTACGACTACCTCTCAAACACTTTCACTAACCTCACTGGCCTTCTTACAGGATCTTCCCACCTCAAAGCTTTTGCAATTACTGTCCTACACTCACTGTGCTGGCAGTTTGCAAAGCTCTTTTGCCCACACCTTGTTTGGCTGGTTCTCGCTTTATACCCAAGATTCTACTCAGGTGTCACCTTCTCAGAGTGGCATTTCATGACCATCATATCAAAGTAACCTCTTCCTTTTATCAGTAATTTTTCATATCTTTTTTTTTTATTGTTCAAAAGTTTGTAATGGTCTTTATTATCCATGAATGAGTGAGATCATGTGGTATTTTTCCTTCATTGACTGGCTTATTTCACTTAGCATAATGCTCTCCAGTTCCATCCATGCTGTTGCAAATGGTAAGAGTTCCTTCTTTTTTACAGCAGCATAGTATTCCATCGTGTAGATGTACCACAGTTTTCTAATCCATTCATCTACTGATGGGCACTTAGGCTGTTTCCAGATCTTAGCTATGGTGAATTGTGCTGCTATGAACATATGGGTGCACATATCCTTTCTGATTGGTGTTTCTGGTTTCTTGGGATATATTCCTAGAAGTGGGATCACAGGGTCAAATGGGAGTTCCATTTCCAGCTTTTTGAGGAAACTCCATACTGTCTTCCATAATTTTTCATATCTTTATCCTACCTTTGTTGTTAATTTTTTCCAGAGCATTTATTACTCTGGAACCAGACTGCCTGGTTTTACAAACAAATCTGCTCTGTGGTTCTAGACTAGTTACACAACCTTGTGTGTCTCAGTTTTCTTATCTGTAAAATGGGAATCATAATAGGGGCCACCCCATTAGGTATTGTAAGGTTTAAATAACTTAATATTGCAAAATTCTGGTAGCAGTGTATGACTTATGGTATCATCATAGAAGAGGCAACTATTGTTATTTTTTTATTTTGTCTCTTCTCCTTGAATGTAAGCTTTGTAAAGTCTGGGCCTTGTCTCATTTTTGTGCACTGCTGTCAATAAATACCTAGAAGTGATTGGCACATATTGGGCAATCAAGTACTTGTTTGAATGAATGGACTTCAAGAACAGCACAAAGGCAATATCCTAGTATGTTTTATTACAGTTCTGATTAAACATTTCACTATTATTTATTATAAATAGATATTTGCTCTAATAAACATTCTTGGCAGTGGACTTACGGCCAAAAACTTTTTTCTAAAGCAATCAGTACAACGATTCTAAAACCAGTGACTGATGTACATCAACGAAATGACTGTGGGGGAGTCCGTAATTTAGTTTGGCAAAATAATTTTGAGCCCTAAATGTTTGTTTGACATAAAAGTCACACATGCCTATGTTGTAAGCATACAGAACTGGACCAATAACAGTTAAGTCAAGATAATAAAAAAATTATTCCTCTTTTTCTTTCTCTTTCAGAGTGCAAAGCTGACTGTGATACTTGTTTCAACAAAAATTTCTGCACAAAGTGTAAAAGTGGGTTTTACTTACACCTTGGGAAGTGCCTTGGCAATTGCCCAGAAGGGTTGGAAGCCAACAACCACACCATGGAGTGCGTCAGTATTGGTGAGGAGGAACTCTATGATTTTGAAAGATGAGAAACATCTTAGATGATAATTCAGTCTCCATGGACATGCTTCTCGTCGTCCTATTTCACAAGAACCTGAGGGACTGTCTCTATAAGGCTCTCTCCATCTTTCCATCTTAATGGTGTTTCCATAGCTTTTCCCAGCTGTATTATAGTACAATTTAACATCCTGTGGGAGTTCCATTATATCTTAGGGACTGTTAATAACTGTTTCAACTATTCTTATCATTACTTTGTATCATTCTTTAATGAAGTTTTACTTATAGTGAGATATATATATATATAGTGGCCAGATTATTATGACTGGCCAGATTATTATGACCACCCCATCAGTACAATGAAGTGAATTAGTTATGCAAATAATAATAATATAAAACCTTGAGAGTATTTGCTTAGGAAGTTTTCAATATTCAGTATTTTTGGAAGTGTCAATGAAGTACTGATGGGGTGGTCATAAAAATCTGGCCGGTCATAATAATCTTGCCACTCAGTGTATATATTGGTCTTGAACTAAATTCCCACCTTAGGGCAAAACCGTGGCAAAACACCTAGGTCTAATCTCAGTCAGTGACCTAAGTTACTCTCCAAGGGGAGAAAAACATGCTCAGTGGGTAGATCAAACACCTAGAGAACTGGAGCTGATACAGTTAAAATTCTTACCCTTTCCTTTCACACTGCTTTGCTGAAATGTCCTGCTACGCGGGTATTCAGAAATGAGGAGAGATTTTTGGACTTACTCAAACTGACAGAGGAGACAGTCCCGGGGTCTGATTAATTGCAGGCCGAGTTTCCTGGGGGGGAGGTCCCTCAGACAAGTTGTTTGTCTAAATAACAGATCACTGTCAGGCTATATTTTCCTTCTTTTAAATGCTGTGCAGCTACTACAGCTACAAGTTTGATGAACACTTGGGGAGCAGATGCTACACCAAATGGGAAAACAGCGTACTAAATCTCAAAGTCCCCTGGGCAAGAGCTGCAGGAACCTTTGATGCTGCGCTGGCTGCGCTGATGTTGGCACACAAATGTCCTCCTGATTCAGTACAAGATAGTCGTCTCCAGGACTCCCCCCGGGTCCCCACAATCCGATCCATTAGAATCTAAAGCGCTGGGGTAATAACCCTAACGTGGGGTTTAACCATTTCAGGCCCACTCAGAACACTTCTTTCTAAGCACAATTTTTGGCAGAGTGAAATAGATGGATGATATTTTTAAGATAACTTCAGAAGCATCTGGAAAACAACAGTCCTGAAACAGTTCATGGCTCATTTTGGTTTGCCTTTTTCCCCCCCTCTAGTCAATAAAACACACACACACACACACACACACACACACACACACACCACCTTAGAAATAAGGTGTTTTATCTATTTGTAGGTACCAAGGGTTGATGATTAGAGGTAATAAATTCCAAACTGTGAAAAAAGATAGGAAACAATTCTGTAGAATATTCAAACAGGATGTGCTGCAAAGAGTTTGTGGTATTTCTCCACCCAGGAAAAGGGGCACCTGCTTGGATTTTCTTAGTTGCTGAAAGTATTGCAGTCAGTCCTTAAAAGGCTATTTATTTTAAATAGATCAATGCTTTCTTATCAGAGAGAGCATTTAACACCTGGAGCTATTGGATTAGCCTTTAAAGCTGACTGGCCATTTATATTACCATTAAGATAAGACTATTTTTAATAAATTAAATTAAAGAAATTACATCATTTAGAATATGGGTCCGCAGTCTAAAAGGCATTTCGTGAATCTGGCTCGCTGAACAGGTATACACGACTTGGAACACACTAGCAGCACAAATCAGCAGCTTTGGTTCAGGCTGGCTCTTGTTGCTTGCTCCCTATGGGGTGTCTCCCATCACGTGGTGTCTAGCCTACCAGCACTACGCAGGCCAGGCCCATGGGCTTCCCGAGAATTTCATGAAAAATGATGACCTGCTTGATTATCACAAAGGGCCATTAAAGCCTATTCCTTTAACAAATATGAAAACTAGGACTCGGAGAGCTGAAATGATGATCCCAAGGACACAAGTGAGTTATTGTCGGTGCTGTAACGATGACCTTGACTCTAGCTCTGTAGTGTTCACCCAACAGGTTAAAGAATGTTTTCTCTCTTTGCTAAAATCTACACTATATGACTTGTTTCTTACCCAGACTTTCAATTGACAGGAAAGGTCATAAACAGAAAACACCACCCTGATATAGAGCTGGGGCGAAAGACTTACCAACATACCCGTTACCATGGTTGGCAGGTCCAATTAAGCACAAATATCCACTGACCCCAATTTTATAGGGGAATGCACTTCTTCTACTTTGGACTCCAGATATTTGCTTCCTTTCTGAACTGTCATTCCATTCTGTCATCCTTATTGCTTCTCTCGGAAAGTTGTTTAAGTAGTGAAAGGGGGAAGATATTCAGCTCCAAAGAGTGAGTAGCAAGAACATACCCTTGCTATGTTCTCTGTGGAACCACATAGTTAGCCAACAAGAATGAGAGCGATATCATTACTAGAATTTCATTGTTAGAATCATTCATCATCTGACGGAGGACTTAGATTTTTATTTTTCCATGTGATTTCTTGGAGGTCTTTTTCTTTGTTGTGTTCAAGATCCACTGCTTTTTAGTGATTAATATGGGGGTGGAAGATATTTCCTTAACTGGCAAGAGTTATGGTATCATTAAGTGACTTGGTTGCTCTAATAATGGTATAACTGAGCATGAAGACTATTTTGAAAGTGGTACAATAAAGTTCACTTGAGTTCATAGAAACTTAAATTTGCTTATCTAATCATTTCCATTTAACTCTGTGTTACATTCAGATATCTGAAAGTGACCAAAAAGCATGTGGAAAAATGTATGGCAAATGGATTTAAATTTCTAAAACATTTAGGTTCTTTTTCTTGAGAATGTATGAAATATAGCATTCTGTCTTAAAGTAAGGATTCTTTAAATCGGAAGGCAGTAAGAAAATTTTTTGGAAACTTGTTTTTGTGGAAAGGGAGTCATATCATCTGAAAGAGTTACTGTTGCAAGCTGTTACAGTTATTGTAAGTTAGGAAGTTTCATAGACATAAATATAAGAATAGCACCTTGCAGATACTTATTTTCATTAGAAATGCAAAAGTCTGACCTTGAAAAGGCATGATTGAAAGGAAGAGATTAATACATAAAGAAAAAGGAACACCTCTATAAAAAAAAAGCTTTAGAGAAAGTACATCAGTTGATCTTAGGAATCACTCGTCAAGTTAATTTTAGAAGCAGTCTATCAGCTGAAATTGACCCAGAATTCACTTAGAATAGATGTTTCCATGCCTGAACCATATCTATATATATAAAAAGCCAGATCAGGGGGCGGGGCCAGAGGCCAACCTCCCGTGGCCCCTCCCCCTGGCTAGCCCCGCCCCCTGTTTGGCCGCGGCCCCTCCCCCACCTAGCCAACCTCCCGCAGCCCCTTCCCCCAGCCGGCCCAGCCCTGATCGGGGCCCTGATCAGGATGGGCTGGCCGGCCAACCTCCCGCTGTCTCCTCCTCCCAACAGGCCTGGCCCCGACCTGCCGATTGGGGCCAGGCCGGCTGGACCCCACCCATGCACTGGGCCTCTAGACCATTAATAAATAATAGTATTTAAATGCTCAAGAGCAATGGAGTAGAACAGGTAGTGGGTTGTAGGCTAAGGACCCAGATTCATTTTTCGCTTTACCATTATGTATGTAGCACAGAAGTTCTCAAAGTGTGTTCTCAGTACTTGCAAATCAGTATTGCATGTATTGTTAGAAATGCAAATTCTCAGGCCCCATCCCAGACAGCTGAATCAGAAACATGGGGTGGGGCCCAGAGTTCTGTGTGTTAGCTCTCCTGGGGATTCTGTTATTCGCTATAGTTTGAGAATCCTCTAATGCATAATAATGACTATTCTATCAAGTTATGATCAGGATCAATCAATAATTGCCCAGTGCTCAGAACTTATAAAACACTGGCTAATTGTGAGTAATTGTATTAGTTGCTGGTTAATCAAATCTAAAGTGAACAGAAAACCTAATGCAAGAGTGAATTTACCTGATAATACGTGTACTAAAAAACTGAAAACAGTCTATTCCTGCCTCCCCCTTTCTCTTTGTTCTATCTTTGTCATCTTGCCCAACTCTGTTCTGCTGGATTTCTGCTCAGAATTTGGGCAAGTATTGATGGCAGCAAACCTTTGTGTTTATTTAACAATCGTGGGAATATTTGCGCGCCCGCTGACGCTGTTTCTGCTGTTCTGTTGCAGTGCACTGTGAGGCCAGTGAGTGGAGTGCTTGGAGTCCATGCACGAAGAAGGGGAAAACATGCGGCTTCAAAAGAGGGACTGAAACCCGGGTCCGAGAAATCACACAGCATCCGTCAGCGAAGGGTAACCTGTGTCCCCCGACCAGTGAGACGAGAAAGTGTACAGTGCAAAGAAAGAAGTGTCAGAAGGGAGAACGAGGTACTAAAAGATATGCTTGTTTGCATCTTCATAATTTGATGGAAATTTCACTTTATTTCTTAGGACACATTTAGTATTACCATACATCTCTGCAGCCCTAAAATGTGTTCTGACCAAAGAATGTGTGGGCTGTAAATTAGAGAATATAGATGTGTAATTGTGTGTTTTTTTTTACATGGAGCTGATAGCAGAACTTTAAACTGCTATAGAGGTGTGCTCACTGACTCCTGGTGAAGGAGGCTGCATCATGGGAATTTAGGCCTATTTGGGAGGAGGTGTGGATTCTCTTTTTTCTACTCCACCTGCCTGCTGCCTAGAAAATTTGGGGGGAGCCTCATAACCACAAGGTATAATACCATGCGGTATAAGATCACGGTGAAGAGACACCAGAAAATAAACATATTCCTTTGTTCGTTGCCTACAAACCAAAGAAGTACAGTTAGGATGTAAGCTTTTCTAGCTAACATATTTTAAAGGTTACATAGGATTTTTAAAATATTTAAATATATATGTTTTTTAAAAATATATTTTTATTGATTTTAGAGAGAGGAAGGGAGAGAGATAGAGAGCTAAAAACATCTATGAGAGAGAAACATCGATCGGCTGCCTCCTGTTGGGGATTGAGCCTGAAACCCGGGCATGTGCCTTGACCGGGAATGGAACCCTGACCTCCTGGTTCATGGGCTGACGCTCAACCACTGAGCCACCTCAACCGGGCTAAATGTATATATGTTTTTAATATTCACTTTACATTTGAGGTAAAGAACCAAGCCATATTTTATAAATATCATACCAACATTAATGACATGTTATCCTCCAGATTTTATTCATAGTCTGCTAACTTTATATAACAGATTACAGAATCTTAATGATCAGTGTTCAATAACTCTGTGTCAGAGCTTGTTCTGAAGTCTTATGATTACCAAGGAGAAATATACCATTTCATATGATGTTTTAAGGTGATTAAATACATATTGGTCTTTAAAGTTTAATTTTTTTCATCTTCCTCACTAATGTCTTCAGCACCAGTGTCTACCAATATGTTACATAGCTTTATAAAACTACTAGAGGCCCAATGTACAAATTCATGCATGGGTGGGGTCCCTCATTGTGGCCTGGGGGATTGGGCCGAAACTGGCAGTTCAATGCCACCTGCCACTCCTGCCTGCTGCTCCCGCTCATCCTGACCCCCCTGTGCCTGCCACAGGCTCATGCCCAGTCAGTCCTGATTGGGAGAGGCTTGCACTCGCCAGCCATGAGCCCTGCATCTGGCACCATCCGCAGGGGGGTGGAGGGGAGCTAGGACCCAATCCACCCTCCAGGCGGGCAGTGGGATGCCTTTGCCAACCTGGGATCCAGATCCCTCCCGTTGACATTCGCGCCGCCGGTTGTAAGACTGCTTTTATATCTTTCTTCCTTGCGGAGCGTCTAGAAAGGGAAAGTAGCCATGGTGTTGGAGGACAAGGATGCTGTCGGATCTTGCCAGTGGCGCCAGTCTGTCGGTGCCTGGCCCATTCTCGGGAGATTGGACCTGCAGGACTACTGAGGGAGTGAGTGGCTGCTGCCGGGCTGGTGGGCCACAGGGACAGGTCTGCCAGCTGAGCAGCACTCCCACTGTGGGAGCGCACTGACCACCAGAAGGCAGCTCCTGCATTGAGCGTCTGCCCCCTGGTGATCAGTGTGCGTCCTAGTGATCAGTAGATCAGTTGTTTGGTTGTTCAGTCCTAATGGTCGCTTAGGCTTTTATATATATAGATTGGTAGTTATCTGGTAAGTCATTAAATCATCCCTCAATTAACTGTCAATTAAAAATAGTTTAGCTGCCTCTGTAATTGAACTTCCTTTGCTTATTTCATTCATTCATTCATTCATTCAAGATCATTTTATTGAATTTTTACTTTATGGCCATGCACAATTTTAAGCCCTGGAGATTTACAACTGAATAGGGTAAAATTTCTATCCTGAAGGTTCACTCAGAATCCTATGGAGGGTTAAGATGTTTAAACAGATAATCACAATATCCTATATTAGGGAAGATTATATGTGTGTGAACAAGTCCAATGGGAACACAGAGAAGGGTGCTGAGCAAACCTGAATATTGCTTATCTAAGGCAGAACTTGGGTCACCTGTACTTTGCAATGTCTTTCACTATCCCAAATGCACCAGCAATCATCAGAATGTATAAAGCTATTGTTGTCATTAGTAATCAAGTAGTTAATATGATTAAATTATTGAAGACATGAATTATTTTAAAGGGATCTTCAAGCTTTTGCAAATTTGTAAGATTAAAATTAGGTTTTGATTAAAATTAGGTTTAAGGAATGAAAGTTGGCTAGTGAAAAAGGTCTTTCTGGCATTAGTTACCAATTAATTTAAAACATCTTAGATTTTAGAAGTTGAATTTGGAAATCAAATATTTCATCACTCTACTTGTTGTTAAGCTCCCATAGCCGTACATTTACTTATGTTTACTAAATTTTCTTGAAATTTAATGACTTACAGGTGGTCTTCACTCATACTAGGCTTTCCACAAAGATTCTACACTGCTAATAAGTATTCAGTATACTTGTCTTTTCAAATATAAGTGAAAAAAAATCTTATCTAATAGAAAAAGTAAATTATGGTACTAATTGCATTTTATTTCTTTACTTGAGAATGTGGTCTTCTAATATATTTTTCTGGCACTTGACTTAAAACATTAACATTAAAAATGTCAGTCTTTAAAACTAAGAATGGATAAGACAAATAATGTCACAAGAAGTTTAAAAATAGTAACCTGTGCTGTAAGCTTGGCTTAAAAGTTTCTTTTCTGGTCTTTTTTTCTTCCCTCAGATAGGATATGGTAACATTTCATATTACAGAGGAACTTTATACAACCATAAAAATGTATGTGTTTATTACTTTTCAAATTTCATAATACACAGACAACCAAGTATGAAATATGGATAGCATTTGCAATTAAATACCAGATTCAGTTCCAGTTTTATTAATCTTCATACATCTTTTTATGTCTGTCAAATATTTTTTTCAAGTAGCCTAAAAGTTTAAGATAGAAAGGAAACAAGTTATTTCTTAATTCATTACTTCTCTAATCTAACATTTATCTTATATTGTTTTAATGGTAACTTATCAAATATCCTATTGAACATGGAGAAACCAAATAGAAAAGTATTTATGAACTCTAGGTAGACCACTATACCACATCAAAATAATATTACCCAGAGTACTCTCACTTAGGCTCTGAGATTATATATATATACTAGAGGCCCGGTGCACAAAAATTTGTGCACTGGCAGCGGGGGGGGAGTGTCCCTCAGCCTGACCTGTGCCCTCTCCCAGTCTGGGACCCCTCAGGAGATAACCACCTGCTGGCTTGGGCCCGCTCCCCGGGTGGCAGATGGCAGGCCCAATCCTGCAGTGCCTGCCCCGCCTCCCCGGGTCACAGATGGCAGGCTCAGATCCCACACTGGGTCACAGATGACAGGCTCGGATGGCGGCAGGGGGAGGTGGACGATGGCGCCCCCCCGCCCCGCCGCCCCAGGTTGCACACGGGAGTCCCAGATGGCAGCAGGCGGGGGGGGGGGCGGATTGCTCTGTCCCGCCCCGCCTACAGTATGCAAATTTAACAGCCATCTTTGTTAGGTTAATTTGCATACTCTTCTGATTGGCTGATGGGCATAGCGAAGGTACGGTCAATTAGCATCTTTGTCTTTTATTAGTGTAGATAATAAACACAATAAAGTGATAAAGACATGATTTCTCCTACCACTCTTAAATGCTTATAGATTCATAAAAGAAGATCTTTTCAATTCATGACTGGAGCATTTCTGGGGAGTAAGCTAAAAGAAAAGACTCTTTAAAATAAATTTAGCCTGAATATCTTGAATTTAAACTTACATCTATCATCCCCACCTAAGAGGTTAACAATAGACAGAGGTAGATAAGCCATTTTTGGAAAAGGTGTGGAGCATGTGTTCAGGATTTTTCTGTTGGGCCGTGATTGCCAAAGGCAAGGTCTCCAGGGAAGAATGATAAGATCCAGAAATGACTTTTCAAAATGCACACAAAGAGACTGAATAGAAGGAACTAGGTTTCAGTAACAGGATGGATTATTCTAGTTGTGAGATGCATATACATATATATTTGAAAAATTGTTTGCGAATAATACACACATACACATTTTTCTTTACTTATATTTTTCTCGTGCTTAGAATGGTCATAGTAAATGAATCTATGAAGGAAAATGTAATATCTCTATCCCCAAATCTGAATTTTTATCTGATGTACTTTTTTGTTTGTACCCTTTAAGATTATTTTGCTTTACCTGACATGTTACCTTTAACTTTTCCATCAATTACCAGCTTTAATAAGTTATAACCATTGCAATAGTTTCTAGCTTGAGCTATCTCAATTAAATTATATATCTAAAATGTCAAAGATGTATAACATATTTTAAGAGATTATAAAGTCTAACACATATAGACTATCATATATGCATTAAAACAATATATTGAAACTAGAGACCCAGTGCATGAATTCGTGCATGGGTGGGGTCCGGCTGGCCTGCTCCAATGGGGAACCATTGGGCCAGGCCAGCGGGGGAGAGGGCCTATGGGTGGTTGGTCAGCTGGCCCCACTCCCAATCTGGTTGTTAGGGGCCGATCGGGGGCTGGGTTGGCCAGGGACGGGGCGCCTGTTTGGAGCCCGGATCAGGCTGGTTGGCTGCCGCAGTGTGCACCATAGCCACCAGTCATTCCGGTTGTTCTGGTTGTTCTGCCGTTCTGGTTGCTGGGCTTTTATATATATAGATAGAAATAAACAAGGAGAAAATGCACTTTCAATGGTTGTCAACTTATACTTATTGACTCCTTTGATTTACTTGGTGTAACCATCTTAGATAGATAAAGGGAAGTGAAACAGGACAATGCAGTATACATGTGCCTATATTTGAGGCAAAAGGATAATTTTTGTGTGTATGTAGGGGTGGGCATAGGAAGAC